AGCGCCGTAAGATGCTGGCCGATATTGCGATTTCTGTCGGTGAAAAATGAAGTGGCCAGGCCAAGATTTCCAGCGCGACCAGTGCGACCGATGCGATGAACATACTCATCAATATCGTTTGGAAGGTCAAAGTTAATCACGTGCTTCACATTAGGGATATCAAGACCTCTCGCTGCCACCTAAACAGAAATAATGCAGAGACAGACTTGTAACTGGATGCAATCGAGCGGAAAGTGAAAAGATTGCAAAAACGGAGCTAAACTGATGGCGAAGTCTTGCTTGTCCCATCAATCTTTCTGTTCGAGAAATCCTGAACGAAAAAATGTACCCCGCTAAAATTCCGCGAAACAACGTCCGGAACTAAAGGTCATTAAAAGGCTGATTCTCGCCTGCGTGGCGAGCGAATTCTCGACTCTGACATAAGAGAAGCAAGATTTTCCAGAGAAAAAGAAAGTTACAACTGTATAGAGAGCAGCTTACAGCGGTTGCTACAAGTATATTTGATTGCCCGGATCGAAACATTTCCAAGTGTCGCTCTCTTTCGAACTGTTTCAGATCACCATGGATCGGCACAACATTGTAATTCTTGCGCTGAAGATACCAAGCCAGCTCATTGGCGCCCCGTTTTGTTTCCACGAATACCAGTGTAAGTGCTCGGTCCCCTGAAATCATACTATTTTAAATATGCTAGCTACTAGTCAGCAAAATCCCTCGTCGTAGTTTAGGACTGAAAGTTTACGAAAAGAGCTAAAAATGCCCAAGATGCATCAAGGATATATTGAAGCAGTTAAAGTCATACTAAATGCGCCTGTTGGAAGAACTGTCCAGTCCGAAATCTATTCACGAGACCAAGAATACGATGAAGGCCCATCTTCTTTAAGTTCTTCATTTTCTTAAATTTGCGCTTTTTTTTCAATTGCTAGTAGGATAGATTTCACTATGAAAATAAAAGAAAATTTATGCGCAGACGTTCAATGATCTTCTCAGAAAAAATACACATTTAAATAAAATCAAATTTTTACAGAAACCTAGGTAGCAACGGACAAGATTTGCCGATGCGAACATGTGATTTCGCAAGTTTATCCCAATTAAATAAATTAAGAATGAGCACCCATACTGTCAAAAATTATCACAAAAAAAAGTCCCCATCAGACACGATCATGAGCCACACTCAGGACATTTCTTCAATCTAACTGCCCTGGTTACGGAGTTACGTCAAATTTCACGCGTTTGCAAGTGAGGAGGAAAGTGAACGTAATTTTTAAATGCGCTTGCCCAAATAGGGTCGCAAGTCACGCTCAAACCCCGGCAACCTAGTCGTTCCGGTTGCGGAGTTTAATCTTTCTGACCAGTGTCGCCAAACTGAATATCCACATGCACGTAGGTATGACCTGGGGTTGCCTACGTGCTGAACTTGAAGTCTTGGGGAAGCCCTCCCGTTCCCACCACACCCTCCTCGTTCCCACGGCGCCCTCTCGTTCCCACCACGCCCCTTCCATTCCCACGGCTCCCTTCCGTTCCCACCACACCCTTCCCGTTCCCACCACGCCCCTCCCGTTCAGGCGACACCCTTGCCACTCCCGCTATACCTCCCCCGCTTCTACCATATCCTTACTGCTCGCGCCTGGCTCCCCCCCGTTCCCACTGCGTCTCTCCCGTCTCTACCACGCCCCTCCCAATCCCGCCGCGCCCCTTTCACTCTCTCCGTTCTCATCGCGAACTCCCAGTTCCCATCGCAACTCTCTCGCTCCTACCGTACCTCTTTCATTTCCACTTCGGCTCTACCGTCTTGTCCACACTCCTCGCCCCTCTCCCGCTCCTACTACACCCCTCCTGTTACCACTACGCCTCTCCTGTTCCTATTACACCTCTCCTGGCTCCTACCGCGTCTTCCCCCTCCCCAGCACGCCCCTCCCGCTTCCACCACGCCCCACCCGTCCCCACCACACCCTTCCCGCTCCTGTCGCGTCCCTTGTCCTACACACCTCTCCCGCTCCCATCGCGCCCTTGTTGCCCCCACCACACCCTTCTCACCCCTACTACGCTTCTCCCGCTCCCACACCTCCCCCTTGCCCCTAACACATTTACCACGTCCCTTCCACTTCCATCACACTCCTCACCCCTCCTCCTTCTCCTCCCTTCAACACACCGCTCCTTCTCCCACCAGATCAAAAGCAAAAGTCAACTATTTTTACATCGGATAAATCTAAGATATGTCTGGAACAGCTAATAAGTCAAGTGACCAGTACTATATTGTTCGGTGATTAACATGCTGATGTTTGTAAGTTTGGGGCCGTCAACATGCTGATCACCAGATGTAGAAGACCAGAATTTGAACGAAAAAATTTAACAGAAAAAGCGAAAATAATACTCACAGTTAGTTTTTACATAAAACAGTAACGCCAACTTATATGATTAGTTTCTTTTCTGTCATTTCTATTAGTTTCAGCAATTTTATACATTCATGCTTGCATATACGTACCATCGGCCTATCTGTATTGCTAACTCCGACAGTCTACACTCATTTTATTTGACTTGCTTATCCTGTTTTAACTTCTGCAAGGACAGATTGCCTTGGCGGTCTTGTCTAAGCATTTAAAATATTAGTTTTTGAGAACCGCGAAACAATGGTAACTTACCATCGGCATCCAGAAGTTCCATAAGTAGACGCCTCTTGTCATATTCACCAACCCAAATGATTTTCTGCACAATATTTTCGGAGGTCGAACCGACGCGCCCAACAGCGATGAAAACATAATTTGGTACAAGGAAGTCCTGCGCCAACACCTGTATCTCTTTGGGAAAGGTAGCAGAAAACATCGCCGTAATGCGCTCACCCTGAAAAAATATGCAGCAAAATTATATTATCAATTTAGCAAGCATAATAATGCGCCTTTCTTCCCCTCCTCCTTATCTTCCCCCTCCCCTCCCCTTTTGCCTCGCCCCTTCTCCCTCAAAAAAATAAATATATAATAGAACATTCAGCTAGAATTTGAATTTTCAGTAAAAAGAAATTCCATTTCAGTGCTGGCACAATTCCATTCGGATTTCTTATTAAGTTAGGACGATTAATACGAGAAATCTCTCAGTCGATAGGTATCTCGTCGCGGATAATGGGGATTCGGAGGAGAAGGTAACACTCATTTCACGCCGTGGAAATCCAGAACCTTTTTTGGTAATGAATGGCGCTCCACAATTTGACGAATTTGCGGCTCGAAACCCATATCCAGCATACGATCAGCTTCGTCAAGCACCAGAAACATACATTTGTGAAGTGCTACAACGTTCTGATTCAGCACATCCAACAAACGTCCCGGTGTTGCAATAAGTACATGACAACCCAGCTAAACAGTTCAATTAAATATATAAGTTTAAGTGGCGATGCAGTGTTAGTAATACTACTAAGATGCTTTCACAAGGCCATGCGCAGCTGTCCCAGACCCCTCGATTCTGTTTTAATGGTAAGAAATGTATACGGCTTAATAGATCGAAATATTATATTTTATAGTAATTTTCAAGTTTTATTAATTTCTTAATACTATGTGTTTTTTTCTTCTTTCAACATTAAAATATTTTTATTACATTCATCCAGTCAGAGGTTGTCTTCTTTTCGACGTATGTGCACCACCTTTTTGGGGGTTCATAACCTCACAAGTAATGCTCAAAAAATGCATGATGCTTCTTCGCTGCCAAAAAAACAAGCAATCCGCCTCATCAACTGAATTTTATTACATTGCAATCACAGTAATATCCTGTTTGCCATTCATCCGAAAAAAGTCTGACTGGTGTTTGAGCAAATACTCCAAGCATTCTTCGCTCCACTGGTTCCTCCCAAAAATGAGATCACCACACTGATTTTCGGGCTTTCCTGGATATTTTTCATAGTAAATCAAATTAGGAGAAGAGGATGGCTGCGGAACATTCCTCCAATAATTACGCCGATTTTAGCAAGTGAAATGAAACATTCTGGCTATACGTGTGCAAAAAATTAGAATTTTTCATCTATTCATTAAATTTTCGAATTGCAATAGAGTATCAGAGAAGGGAATGGAGTAACGAAAGAGTGAGTTAATTATGTCCGGACTGCTCATATTATTCATTATTTTCGAATTATTCGTCTAATCAGCAAGTCCAAAGAATGGCTTTTTTTACACAAAAAAAAGAAAAAAAATGTAGGTTTTCCAAGGGCGGTACCAAATCGAACGTAGCGTCGTAGGAATAAATTTGCAAAGACAAGTTCTAGACAGTACTTAAATAAGAATGCTGCCAAGCTCTTGGAAGCAATGGAAACGGTTCTGCTGCACAAATTGTTAAGGAAGAACTAAAACATCAGCACTCCAGGAAGAAAAAAAATTGATTTTTTTAATGCGTAATAAACACACGAACGAAAATGGAAACTTGTACAGACAAACGAGCCATACGACTTTCAATGGACCGAAACATTTCTTACTATTATAATAATTCAATTAAAATAATTTCACTGATTTTGTTAATTTCCTGATTCTTATTTCGGAATTTCTTCTTCGATTCTTCCGCTTTTTTCAGTATACCTTTTTATTTTAAGTTTTATAGTAAGAATGCAAGTTGATAATGCGAGTTAAAAAAATACCTTCAATTTTTGCACCTGATCACGATAATTTTCACGGCCACCATAAAGCACAGCTGCTGTAACGCTGGTTCGATATGCGAATTTTAGCGCCTCTTTATGAGTCTGCATAGCCAGCTCACGAGTCGGTGCCAATATCAGTGCAGCTGGAAGCACTGTTCGACGGCCGAAAAGTGTAAACGGCAGCTGAAAACGTTACAGCGAACGAAATAAATGCAAAATTAAGTAAAGAAAAACCGGTCAACGGTCAAATTTTGAAAGTAATGAAAAAGCCGTCAAATTCTGAAAATATCCTAGAAATCTATGTTATGATCTACAAATTTTGAAAGTTTCTAAAAAAACTGCGTTTTTACATCTTGCACTGCTGTAACAGTATGTTCAGATTTTTGTCCGGTTTTTTTCAACACATTAAAAATCCTGAGATCCAAATGGAAAATTGTTGGCATTTTTCCTGCTACCTAATACTAGTCCTACTAAAAAAACCCGTGAAAATCTCAAAAATATAAGTCCAAATTCTTAAAGAAATCCAAAAAATGGCCCAAGAATTTCACTGTGCAAATTTTTGAATAACAGAAAAAAAAACCCCTCTTACATCTTCCTGTGTTATTCCAGTGGTGCCATTCTGGACGATATGATTGATAAGTGGCAAAAGAAAAGCTGCAGTTTTGCCTGAGCCCGTCTGCGCACACGACATCAAATCACGACAATTCATCAGAGTCGGAATCGAATATTTCTAAAATGATAAGTCTTTTCAGTCATCTGATCCTTGTTGATACAGTCCATGCCCTCTGTCTTGCTCATCAAAGCAGTAAAAATATGGCAGAGCTCCTTTATTACTGATATACAGTAATTACAGGTCGTTGCTTAGCCTTATTTTGCGCTCACTTAAGGCCCTAAATTTAAAAAGAATTAGCCTCAGTTTGCATTCCCTATAAAACAAAAAATTGCAAACACTTTAACTGGATGGAATTATGTGGATCTATTTTGACCGAAGGCAAAAAAACTTCCCCTTGAGACCAATTCGTAAGTTTTGATAACAAATTGGTACTGGGACATAGCTTCCGAGTAAATCCTTTAACAGGAAAGCATCGACAGTTCTGGTACAGGGTGATGTTACAGGGATGTGTTAAAGAAATTGAGTAACAGAGGAGGTTTTAACTATTGCACCATTATCAACTCCCCCTCTCCCCCGCCTTCCGCTTCCCCCAATAAAAAATGAAAAAAAAAAAAACTTTACTTCATCTCATCATTTTTTTGTTTTTTTTTTTGCAATTTTAAAAAAATTCACAGCTCACTGATGCACGACATAGGTATGAAAGCACGTTGACTGCCGAATGTTTCGGGCAACGAATGGTACTGAGCAGAAAAACAGACTATGATATGATTCGCCGGAAAAGCAAGAAATGGAACTGTACCTGAACTGGCGTTGGTTTTGTATATCCCGACTGTCTGATATTTTCCTGAATTGTCCGATGCAATTGCAGCTCTTCAAACTAAAAAAAGAAATTTAAAAAAAAAAAGTGTATTTCGTGGTTACTTCTTTATATTTCACGCCATCATCAGCTTGCTTATAAGCGACTTTTGAAAGAAGAAAATGCCACCGACAACGGTCTTGCCAGCGGATGGGTTGCTAATGGCTGCCAATGAAATTCCCAATATAATCTCCAAAAGGCTGCCCTACAACTCAAAGCGCCCTGATAATTTCAATATTTTAGTAAAATTTGCAGAAAAATAAAAAATAAAAATATTTTTTATTTCAACAAAACAGCGGCAAAAGTTTCCACAATGCCATGCTGAAGGGCTTGGAACTTTTTGCAATTTCGCAGAAAGTCAAGAATTCAACTCCGATTCGGTCATTCGTTTCGATGGTAACATAATCTTGGCATATTTCAAGAAATCGCCATCAGTTTGCTTGTAAGAAAACCTCAAGAACGAGAGATATCAATAGCTTTAACCACCGAGCAAGTGCTGCTGAAGCCGAAACAATTTCCCATAGCTCATTTTCCCTCAGAGAAAATGACTTTATGGCAATTATTTCGGTTTCTAATTTTAACTCATTTTCAGTGAAACTGAAAATTTTACCATTTTGCACGGGCGCGGTACGTTACTTCCAGTTGCTTCCACTGGTATTTCCTCATATCGATCGAAATTAATACCGCTATTGATACCCGAAAAGAGCTCGCTGGAAAAAAAAGAAACGCATAATTTATGAAAAAAAAAAAAAAATGTATACATCAGAATGAAAAAGCACCAGAAACTGTCGCCTAAGTGTGAAAGAAAAAGAAAAACTAATGAGGGAAAAAAAGAGCAAAAAAAAATGTCACCAAAAATGGTTGCACAACTGTCGCTTAATTTTTAGGGGAAAAAAAGGACTGATGAGGAAAAAAGAGCAAAAAATGTGAGAGAAGATAGAGCTGACAGGATGGAAGGGTTTTTGCATCCAGTAAAACGAGAAGCCGTTGTTTAGAGGTGGCGAAATTTGCCTGAACTGTAGTTAAAACCCTGTCTGTGTATAAATCGCAAAAGCTACGCACGAGAAGTATAATGACCGAAAATACTGCGGACAAAAGTGAGTATTATCTCAGCCGGGAACCAAAAATAGTAAATGAATTGAAAAACTAAAATGCAAGAAAAATGTTGGGTTGCAATACCCGTGGGTAAAAAATTTTGGGGTGCAATACCCGCGGGTAAAAAATTCGGGAAAAAACTGCACACGGGTGATTTAAATCTCAAAAATGACGAAGAAAAGCGTACAGTTTGGAGGCCAAAAAAAACGTACCGTTCGGACATTTCATAACGTGCCGCTGGCGGTGGCCATGGAGAAGCAGCGGTTGGCGCCGCTGACATATTTGCTGCTGCTTCGTCCCAAATTCGAAATACTACAAAAAAAGATAGAAAAATAAAGGAACACCATGAGTTTCTGGGAAGCAACAGAAGCTAAGAGAAAAACGCATTTTTTTCAAGACATTCTTCAAAAACGCGCTCAAAATCTACTCATCAAAACAGCAAAAGAACCCCCAAATGGCTACTGAAGCAGCTCCGGTTATTGCAGTTAACCAGTACCGCTACAAAAGACGTACGGATGTGAAACGTGGTCACTAACGAAAACAGACCAGAGCAAGCCGATTGTAGCAACCAGGTTGACCCTGACAGCCTAAAAGGGCGAAAAAAGCGACAGCGACAGATTATAGCACGAAAGAACAGTATGAGAGAAGAAGGCATTAGATTGAGATAAGACGTTTTGGTCCATTAAGTCATATACAATTTAGCCATAACGAACAAGAGAGCAATGGAGCGAAGGATGCTTGGAGTGTCTCCCTGTGAAAACCCACAGGCAATCCGACTCGCTGACAGATGAAGGCGCACAGACGGAATGCAACGGGCATGCTGCTCGCCTTGCTGACAAAGCCGCCTTTAATTTTAATTTTAGTTGGTATATGTTTATGAAAGATGTGAGGAAATAAAAAAGCAAAATGTGAATAAAATAAGATTAAAATCTGAATGGGAATGGAGCAACAGCTACTTGCAAAAAAAAGCTAGCGCACATGCATCAAGCATATGGGCGTGGGTAAGGGAAGAGGGTAGGGTACCCCCACACACAACCTCTCTCTCCTACTCAGTTCGTCCCCCTCCCCCTTTCCCACTAAGACATTTTAGATGTCATGCTTGGCCCGGAGGAGGGGGGAGGGGGTGGTGTTCCCCTGTAATTATTACCCGTAATATAGGACCGATATATTGAGTGGCCAAGGGATTTTGACAGTCTTTGGGG